TTCAATTTGGATCAATGGATCCCGAACTATGCCAAAATTTCTCTTAACTCCGCCACAATACCCATACTTACCTTATATAGTACATTTATTCGCTAGATGGTGGTGAACCTTAAAATGCTGTTTAAATCGACATAATAACGATTAGATCAAATAGGATAATAAGTATACAATTAAATCAAATAGGATAATAAGTATATCCTTCAATATCTATAAATTCTTGCTTGACAATATTTAACATTCTACAAAAGCTTCTAATAATATAATGCTAAGCATAACTGTAATTAATCATCATGTTCTTTCCAATCAATCAAACTCTCTCATGTTGTCTTTGGTATTCATATTCTGAAATTAATATTTCATTGACTATATGAACGCCATTACGTCGAACCCTAACAATCATAGAATCCCAATCAACATCATCCTCAAAAGGTTCAATAATCCCATCAGCAATGACGACAGGGACCACTCCGAACGCGAAGTATTCCCATATATGAGTAGTATTTAACGTCCATCCAGATGGTGTCAACCCATATTTTGATCTTGCAATTGCTTTAGAATATCCTTCTGTGTCTGATGATTTTCAATATCCCAACCAGGTAGTCCTTTTAATCCATTAAATATTACATATCTAACACTATCAGAATAACGGTCTGTTGCATTAACGTTAGCACAACATCCTCTAAAAATCCCTTTAATGTCCCGACCGAACGGATTACCATATTTACCAACATACTTGATAGAATCAACATAATAATCATTTAACATTAGAGTAGCGCTTGGTATGACAATATTATTATATCTTTTAAATTTTTGGTAAGCTAAATTTAGCTTATCTCCAATTGTTGTAAGATATATCGCATTCTGGAACATATCTTTTTTTCATAATAATCATCAGAATTATCCATTGGATGTATCATGAAATGATCTTCTCCATTAGTTTTATTCCAATAAGGAAAATTCTGAATAATATAATTCATCAGCGGTTCCAAATATATTGAATCTACTTTACATCCTTTAATTTGGTTCCAAATGTTGTTTATCCAACAGTTGTATAAATAGCAACTTCCAAAAAATGGGATGTAAAATAAATTTGCTTCATCAGGATTTTCTGTGACATACAAATTATATAGTTATGAATTTAGCGCTAAAAGTTGGTCGAGTAAAAGTAATTCAGCATTATAAGTTGAGAAATTTACATTTTTGTCGTTTAGTATAGTTAATTTGAATGGCAGATGAGATTATATATATATATTTTTTCGGTATACATATTGCATAACCTTTAAATTAATTTGATAGTAAAAAAATTTTTTTAATGTAGAATTAAAATGCAATTGATTTTTACACAACTGATTACAATTGAATTAATTTTCATAAAGATAACCTATGAAGGTCAGGTGGCCAAATTCTTCCTTTATCTTGTTTAGTGTTGAAGTTGTTGGTTTTGCATTAGATTTAATAATCTTTATTTTTTGCACTTGAATAAATTGCAGATATAAACCAATTAAACCTAATATGCAAAAAACTGAAATGCTAAATAATTTAAATATTCATGTGTCCTGCTATTTTATTTGATGTATAAAGATGAAAATCAACTCGAATTTTGAGCTTTAAATTTGAAACGTTATTGTTATCCTCGGATCGAAGTGCATCGGAATCCTGGTAGGATGTGCCGAATTGATTAATTTTGCCCAAGATCACTACCGTATCCTATCGTAAATAAGCATCATCACTCTACCCCATTTTTTTTAACTGCCAGATTAGCGGAAATTGTAATAGGACCTTTAGCCAAGTTTATATCTATATGCAAATTCACAAATTTATTTGCGGAACCAGCATATACATTTCGGATTTTAGTTGCGGAAACTTATAAATCATTTGCAGTCCGCAAGCTCCGCAACCCAGACACTGGTCATAGCCCATTAATTAAGTAAAAATGCCCTGCTGATAATTTTGCCGGCCCAGTTCCGATGCATTCCGACTGGAATTTTGGTGATCTCCCTGTAAAAAAAATATAAAAATGTAAGTTATTGTGACCTATGTATGACCCATTGGCCAACTATAGCGATAGGTTATGACCTTATGACTTATAAAATTTACTACGTATTACATTATAAAGTTGAATATGACCCAAAAAACAGGAGAAACCGTCCAAATATAGATATGATTTTCATTCTCCGTTACACAGATCACTCATTGTGTCGACCAGTCAAAATATCACTACGGGATTAGTCAACCAATCAAATTGCGAAATTTACAAAAAGACAAAACCATGGGA